TGTGAACACCCATATAGTTGAGGTGATCACAGATGCGCTTTGTGGCTGCGTTCACTTGCTGCCTGGAGTTTCACTGGACACGTCAACCCAAGTCAGCATACCGTTCCGTCTTTGTCAATGTCGATTCAGTATCGAGCTTACCGACGGTACGACTATGAACAAGTCTTAGAGATAGACACAAGATCGAGTGGGACTTATACTTCCGGAGGCAGTGTCCATGCATGGCATCTCTACATTGCCTGCTTGCGAGTTCGCTATGAGTATTTGCTGAAGAAAAAGGTTATCGATTGGACCGAAGGAGGGCAAAACTGATGCCACTGTTACCGAAGATGTGGTGTTTGAAGAACCACTTCTTTTTTGTGCATTCCGTTCATTGGGACTTTTTTGTTCATTATGATATCAACTTTCTGCTTCGTTCGCAAGTGTCCTGTTTTTTTATCTTTCATGGTTCCTTCCATTTCTATTACTTAACTCATGTTGAACGAATTTTGGTTATAATTTGCGAATATTGGCAGATGTAGCACGCTGTGCCTCAGCGTCTATATGATGCATATACCCAGCAAACATTCTAAAATTGAACAAGCTTTGCATGAACGTTAATTTTGAACCTTCCCAGCGTTTAGCTTTACAGCTAACATTAAGTCACTATAGCAATGTCGCTTATCGGAACGCTCAGATGAACGTTGAAGTTCAACACTGGCTGAACGTTAAGCCAACATTGCGATGTCACTTATTTGAGCCTTCACTCCCACCCTTGTAGCATTCCAATATTTGATCAATAATGAAGGCAATGGACTAAATATTATTCTGAAAGTACTAATCTCAGAACTTTCCAGGGAACGGCTATCCCTTTCTTGCTCTGCGGAGTACTGAAATCCTCCTTTCCTTCGCTGGGAATGGAAAGATCATTCTCCCTCCCAAATACGAAGAATAGAGCCATTTAATATGAACTTGATTTTGCCCGAGGAGCATGCTTCTTCGAGTTTCTATTTTAACTGTGAAATCGCTCTTTCCCTACTCATCAAATTCTTGGAACCCCACACTGGAAGTAGTTAACACGTCCATATTCCTCGAGTCAATGTCAAGTAAACATAAAGAGATAATTTTCCATGTTGTATAGTGATGAATACCAATCGCATACGTCAACGAGCACCACTTGGAAATTATTTTATGGACACATCTGTACAAGGTGTTACTATCTTCTGACAAGGATTCCGAGGCTGCACAGGACGAGATAATGGAATTTCCTGAACTCATCATGGTGCCTCGACTTAGATAAGGTGATGTGTCCATCATTGCATTCGAGTCTGGGTGCGACGCATGCCTCCGAGTTGCAATAGGATTCGACGTGAGTTTGTTTCTTGTTTGCTTATGCATGTAAACTCACGAGAATCATGTAGTTTTAAAATTGAGAGTGACATGCAGTATGAATTTAACTACGTTTACTTGTGGTTTTGAGGTTGGAAAGTTTTGTCCGGGCCTCAAACTATCAGTGAACCTGATAAGACTCTCTTTTGTTTTTGTAAAGGAACAAAGCTTGAATGTTCAATTTGTCTTAAGTTGTCTTTGTTGAGCTTAGTTATTACTACTTCCCATGTCATTTTCATCTTGAAGAGTGGAGTTTTGTATAGAAGTTCGTGTATCATTGCCTATTTCTTATATGTTCCACGCAAGATGGTTAGATTGAAATTAATGTTAATGTAAGGAGTGAGAAAATTGCGGGTTAAAAAAATGGAAGTGAAGTTAACTCCTTCAAGGGCACGGGTGAAACCAGTCATGTTGCTTCGCAAGACAGTTGTTTGGTTTCCGGAGTATCTCGCTTTTAAACTTTTTGGACGGGCGTCCCATTAATTAATATGGAGTGGTTCAAGTCTCTTGTCAGGGTACGAACGAACATTGGAAACGTGGTAAAGAATAGTACCATATCACAATAAAGGCCATAGTGGGGATGTGTTTCCCACCAGCAAACAAAAATTCAGGGCTGTTGCTTCAGGCTAAACCATGGTCGTCCGTATTATTAAGTAGCTCTCCATTATTGTCTTCAGGTAGGCATACCGTTGGGAAAAAGTACCAAAGAGTGACATGCCTCATATGCTATTAATTCTCCTGAATCTCCTCGCTGAAAGAGCTATGTGGCCGCTTTCTCAGACGAAGATGTCGCTAAAGAACCAGCTGACAAATTGACGAGAGAGCCTTCGACATATCAGGATTTTTATGGCTTTTCAGCGACGAGTTGACGTGATACGATGTGATTGCCTCGGTTGTGTCAACCATTAAGCAGAACAGGTAAAACTTCCCATTTGCCAAATTAAAATTTAAAAAATGAATTAGGAAAATCATGACTCCTGCAACTCACCTGATATGTCGGTTCATAGATGCGCGAATTGGTTCATTTCAAATTATAAAAGTTTGTCGAGATCAACACAAGGAAATGAGAATTTACATATTTAAATATTGGATATATATCATTTGAAATTTTTCAAAACATACGCTACCATTTGTTACATATACTGTGTTACATTCCCCTCTTTTCGCTTAATTTTCAGGCATGCATCAACTCTTCCGAACAAAGAACAAGGATTGACAGTGTACGTTTTGCCTTATCGAAAAGAAGCGATGGCGGAACCGAAAGTTCAGGTTCTGTACGAAATCTTTAAATGGACTGGAGAGAGTGTAGATGAGATGAATAAAATCAACGGCCTGATGCAGTTATTGGAACAATTCGGAGCTCAGCCGAAAGGTGACCAGAAATACTGGCCAACCGCAACCATCTGCTTCGCAACGGTGAAGGTGAGCCTGCAACCAAAGGATGAGACATCCTCTCCTAGCACGGAACATTCAAGTGCTTTCTATTGCGGAATACATGGTTGTGGAGGTGACAACTACCATACTGAATTACAGCTCATAAAATGGATTAAAGACCTTAATATCTCGCCAAGCGATATTGAGGAAATCCAGATTTATAGCAACCATTCCCCTTGTATGGCGTGTTGCAATCGTCTCCTGCAACTGCAGGATCGGGATTCCCCGATCCCCCTGCAGAAAGTATCTCTTTCTTTCCGACGAAAATATCGGAAAAGCTATATTAATCAGGAGGAACATGAAGAACTTGATGGATTATTGAAAAATAAAATGAATAATTTCCTCGAGTTGCAAAAGGAAGATATTGAATGTTTTAGGAGCAAGTTTTTGGAGTACCTGGAGAAAGAGGTGATCAAGGAAAAACCCACAGAGGAAGAAATGAAAATGACAGATGAGTGGTTGGATGGTTTGAATCCCGTGCAGGGTATCCTTGATGAAGTGGAAAGTGAAACCTATTATCAGGAATCGAGTAGTGACTGACGAAAATTAAAGTTACTCTATTGGAAGCAGAACTGAACAACAGATGTACGCGAGTGAAATGAAAGTCAATGAATCATATATGAAAGAAAAAGTAGACTGTTTATATTTGCATGGTTACAACTTGGAACGAACGATCAGTGGTATTCGCAACTATTCTCCTCTAGTTGAAGTTCATTTTCTTCGGCTCCAACCATACGAGAGCTTGTGGTGCTGGTGGTTACATCATTGTTTTCACGAAGCAGTTCCTGACACGAATTATGATTTTTTACTCCTTAGGTGGTCTCCGTCATCGGCCAGTTGCCTACAATATGCTATCTCATTCTCAAAGCTCGTATATTGCTCAGATGTTTTATGAGAGTCGTTGCAGATAATGTGAACACTGAGAGAATGTGATGAAACCTTACGTATAATATATCACATGTATTTCTTCTTCGTGTTGTCACTGTCTGTGAATACTGCGATCAAGTATCGTCCGATGGCTCTATCTCAGAAGTTAATAAATTGCATGTAGTGGAGGAGGTCAATGTTGCCATTAGGTGATAAACCAAATTCCATCAAGGACCGATGTTAGAGGTGGCCGGGACAAAATTGGAAAGTCATATTGGTCATCGACCTGCTGCGTTTGCAAGGCTGAACTTCTGCTAAACTCTGGAGCCATGTGCATGCAAACAGAGGAAATCACATATAAGGAGCCTGTCCTGAGTGCCGAATGCGTCATATGCAGGTACGTGCTTGAGACAAGGTATCTCAGACACCATGGAAAATGAATCGATGTATTGCAGTAGCAACATGAACCTTTAATTGACGGCACCTTCCATAGTACAATTGGCCTCATTTTATTTTCTTAATGCTCCATGTAGGAGAGAATAGTACTGTCGAAGGGGACATTTAATTAATTCCGAATACAGCTCACTTTCGCGATTACATTTCTATTACACATGGATGTCCCAGAATTGATTAACCATAGGTCCTTCCGCCTAGTCTATAGCCCAGAAAGCCATCGTCTTGTAGGCCTAGGTCAAAGCGGTCTGGAAAGGAAACTCCCTGTTCAACTCAGGAATATATTTGCATTGTTATGTGTATTTCTCTCTATTGTCTGAATCGTTCAGGTACTGTGAGCAGTATTATATTATTTGAGAAGTACAGGGTGACCCATTTGAAAAGTTTACCGATCAATGGCCACGTACAGAAGAAACCACTGGACAGAAGAAGCTGAAACTTGGTTTGTAAACAGTTTGAAGTATGGGCTTCTCGAATCCGTAGAAAAAGAAAAAAAAATAGTGTCAGAAGATGGCACCACCAGAGCATGTCACGTGGCCAGCGAAAAGTATTAAACATCAGTGGATGACCACGGACTGGAAGAGTACGGAACCTAACCAGTGCAAGTGAACATGCTAGCGCTCACTACGAGGATCGAACTGATACAGAGGTTTTACGAAAATGGGAGGAATGCGGAGGCCGCATTAAGGTCGTTCTGTCGAAGCCACAACATGCGCCAAGGTCCATGGTAGCGAGCAGCGTTGGAAAAGCTTGTGGCAAAATTTGAAAAGACAGGATCTGTGGCCAATTTGAAGAAGAGAAGAGGCCGTACTGTTTCCGAAGACATGGCTGTAGAAGTGCATTGACTGCAGAGAAAGAAACGCGCGACATCACATGTTGGTATTGTCAGTGCAAGGGCTGTTGCACGTCGCACTGGAATACCGATAGAGACAGTTCGGAGGACGATGAAAATTGCGCTTCGGCTATTTCCATATCGTATTCATCGAGTTCAGGCTTTGTCAGCTGCTGACATGGAGAGGCGCTACAACTTTGCAATGGAGTTCCATGCACATGTGGAAATTGATGAAACGTGGTTTAGAAACAACCTTTGGAGTGATGAAGCCCACTTCACCTTCCATGGCACGGTCCACACCAAAAATTGTCTAATATGGGCAGAGGAGAACCTCCGCGGCATCGTCCAAGAGCCTCACCACGATGACAAAGTCACTGTGTGGTGTGGTTCCTCACAGGACTTCCTCTTGGGCCCCTTCTTCTTCGAAAAACCCACACAGCGCGGTCTCAAAATCGTCACTCTTATAGGAGAGCGCTACAGGCGGTTATTAGAGCAGCACGTCATAACGGACCTGCAGCAGCGAAACGTTCTGGATGAAGTTGTGTTCATGTAGGACGGTGTCCCTCATGTCTCCAGAAACGTTAAATCTCTGCTCCAACAACATTTCCGAGATTGCATAATCAGCAGACACTTCCCACTTAAAGGGCGTGCTCGATCCCCCGACCTCACACCAGCCGAATTTTGGTTGTGGACCTAAAGTCCCATGTCCCGTGTAAGAGTCATTACTTCTTTCCAGTTTTTCCATGAGATGGAGGTACTTTTTGGAGTTAATGTCATGGACTAGGCCAAAAGGAACATGTATCAGCTGTTTCAATTTCTGTGCAAAGAATATGCAGCTGCAAATGACAATGCAAGGGATATTTCTGAGAAGAAAGGATTTGATTTTGTATATCGCTCCCAATCTCACATTTATCAGTTGTTAGGTTGAAGATATGTCACCTGCTGTAGTTCCAGAAATCAGTTTCAGGGAAACAGTCATTAGCAACTTCTCCTCATTGCGGTTTCAGTGAGTCACTTTTATTTGCCTCATACCACAAATACCAAAGGTACGTAAGTTGTAAGTAATTTGAAGCAAAAGAGGACAGCTCAATACAGGTTTTACCTGAATTGTTTCATGGTAATGTATTAAATTGGATTTCAAAAATTCCTGAATTGAGCTGGGAAATTTCTTTCGCAGTTTCTAACAAAAAAGAATTTTTGGCACAAATTGAATTCTAGCTCTTGTTTACGAGGTTTACGAGCTGTTTTGTCTGTATTCTTATCATTTTCTTTCTCATGCTATTCAGAATGTGGAAGAATACAAACAGGCCGTGGTGAAATTCGCAGGAGTCACCGAGGATGGTTCTCCTTCTTGAAGAAAGTGTTGTTCAAATTTTCATTGTTGGTGATACGCTGAAAGTGGTTCTGCCAAAAAAGTCAGGAAATGATGTGTCGTCTTCTTGTTACTCTTGGCTACTTATTTTTCATTGGAATGAAAATACCCCCCCATTGTACGCTTCCTTTTTCTGCTGTTGCAGCAGTATGTTCTGCTCATCAATACCGATATGACCTTGTCTGGCCGAGCAAGTATCCTGAATCAAAAGTTAAAGAATTTCTTTCGTGATGAAATGTAATTTGCTGAAGCCAAGAGATTAATTTTGCAGTTGAAGGGCTGAAAGGTAATGTGGTTGTCGTATGAGTAAAATTATTAAAATTCGAATATAACCTCAATAGAGCTTTGTGGCTCCCGCGGGACATTATTTTGTTCGCGGCCCTGCATGGGTTCTGCCCATGTCAAGGTTGGGCCCGCATAGCCCTCCATTGTTTTTCTGGGGGTGTGACCTCCCCCTTATGGCCACGCCATCTTTTCGTCTTCCGTCTGGTGTGGTCGGTCCCTGTCACTCTGGCTGTTGGCAGTCCTTCTCGTCATCCGTGCCTGCGATATCTTGTCTAGGTTCTTTGTCCTCGACGGTCTACGTCCGGCTCTTTCCGTGTGTGGAACTTGGCGATACCTTCACTACCCAAGACCTCCTCAACTCCTCCATCTGTGATATTTGCTTTCTTTCTCAATTTAATTGGAATTAAGTACCTGTTGTCCTTGTTGTTTGAACACCGTTTTATTATTTGTCATCAGTCGTCTCCTTAGACGGCTTGTCCTGTTTGTGGAGTCAGGCCAGGACCCTTTCTTTTGCCTCCGATTAACCGCTCGTGCTAAATTATCTTTCTCTTGTTTTCGGCTTAAAGTTAGCGTTAAAAGTCCACTTTTGAGGCCCTCCACACGACATGGTGATCTGCTTTGGTTGCCTGAAAAAAGTAAAGCTGGCTTAGTGCTCATAGAATAGTTTCTTTTTCACATATTTGCAAACATCTAGCATTGTATATGAAAGGAAAAGTGGATTTCTTAATACAGCTCTTCTTCCCCTATAAATATGGATTTAGATCATTCCCTGTCTATGCGGAGGTAAAATAAATAAGTTTTTTTTCCAGATAGGCCAACATTCCTTTAGGCCCTTCAAATTACACTTCATGTTCATGCTTGGTCAGACAGGCATGCTTTTTTTTCATTCCTATGTACAAATGACCTCAATTTTTCAAAGTACTCTGAACTTATTCAGAGTACTCTTTGTTATTATTGGTTTATCTGACATCCAGTCAAGAATGGGATCCTTTCTCAATCCTTCTTTTTACTGCTGAATTTGATTAGTTTTCTTTTAAATGAGCATTTTCTTCCAATTATGCTGTATTTATTTATATTCCCATTCCCATGTTTGATTGGACATATGCAGAGCACATCGGAGGGGTACCTGAAGTGTTCCAAAAGTGTTACGTTGGGAACGCCTGGGATGCCTTCATTAGTGTCTACCATGGGAATATATGAAGTAACATGAGAGCAAATTTTAGAAAGCATTTATTGCACCATCTGGAACACCTGGCCTGTTCCAAAGTGTTGCGTTAAAACGCGTTCCGAATAGTGGTTTTTAGGTCTTAGAAATCTGAATTTTTTTGCGTAGTCCTTCGTGCACGGCAAGTAGAGGCACCTATATATTATTACAATTGTAACGTATGCCAGCCTATGGCCGCGCAACGTCCAGCGTATCAGTAGAGTCAAGGCGGGGAGGAAGCTGAAGGAGGTGAGGGAAAACATCCATCAACACGTGGAGGGAGGTGAACCCAGTGTTTGGAGTCCAGCGTATCAGTAGAGTCAAGGCGGGGAGGAAGCTGAAGGAGGTGAAGGAAAACATCCATCAACACGTGGAGGGAGGTGAACCCAGTGTTTGGGGTCAACCAACCCGTGGAAGGGCTCCTTACAATTTAAATGCAGGATCTTTCCTTCTCAAATGTACTACCCAAACACGGTACAAGGAGCCACAACATCATTATGCGAATGGGTATCGAAGTCCCTCCAATCAAGTCTAATCGCCAAAACCTACCCTCCAATCCAGCAAGATTTCAGCTGAAGATCCCTCCCTCGATCCCTCACTCCGAGGTGACTCAAACGCTCGAACTCGAAGAACTCGAGTTAGTACCGATTTGACCGGGGTACTCGGGC